TACTTTCTAACTCCATGACAAACTTACTTTTGGCATCTGTTCTATTTATTAGCTCAACGAACTCACCCAAAACTTAGCGCAGTTTCATCGGGGTCGCAGGTCGGTGAGCCGAGTGCATCTTCGCATAATTCAACAGTCTTCCTTAAGCTGCAATCCTTCTTCAGTTTCCAGTCAGACCACATCATGAATTCATTCCAACTAACCTTTCCTCCGTAATGAAAAGTCAGTTCACAATATATCAATAAAGAATTCTTCAAAATTCAATTTTTTATTACTATCTAGAAAGCTTCAATATTGACAATAGGCAATTAAATCCAAGGTATGAAGACCAAGATGGTGCGACCTTTCGAATGGTCGCGGTCTTCTTTCGTTGTAGAAAAATTGTTTGACCTTATATTCGCAACTTAGTCATATTTGCAGGAAGACCCAGAGGAACACCCCTTATCCGGAGTTGATAATATGCATGATCATTTCCAGAGTCGGACCCTGAACTTGGTACATTCCGAGACGCCTCTGCAGCATCGTAGTCGACATCGTCAGTCTTAGCACCAAATTACAACTCGCCAAAAAAACAACTAAAGTCGATGCTTTGACCAATTGTCTGCTAGTGTTGTGGCATCTTTCCTTCTATCCTAGGGTATTCACTTTGCGGCATATGCATTGAGTGAATCTCGTGGTCAAGCCTTTACTTTATATTGTCCAGGTCTACGAGCAAACTTATCTACTAGCAATGGTCACCACCGTTTCTCTCGCTCTTCTATCCCGAGTGAAAGGCTTATGACTTTCTAATGCCCTAATATCTTGCTTGTCGGCCCCGAAATGTGATACTTCTAATTGATTTGAATGGGCTGACTTTAAATGGCTCCTCCATCTTTCCGATTGTTACTCTCTGATTGATAAATCAAATTTAAAATGAATGTGGAGGAGGATAAACAACTACCCTTTCTGGATGTTGAGCTCATTTGCTCCAACGGAATACTCAAGAGACTATTCAAAACGAATTCACATGCAGGAATAATCCTCAATTTCTAGTATCATCAGAACTACAGACTGAAGATAAGAATGAGGAGTATGATTATCAGAAGTTTAAGACTAACAAACATTGAATTATAGAACGAGGATTTGGAGAAACTAATTCGGATTTGCGTTAGAAAGGGATACCCCAGGGAATTTGTATAAAAAAATATAGTGATCATAAAGAGTAGCTTTCAACATTATTTTATGAAAATAAGATCAGGAATCGGGAGGACGACCATAAGTTGATATGCCTGAGCCGAAAATTGCGACCGTTGCTAAGAAAATAGAATATCAAGGTGATAATGATAGAAAAGACTCTTCACCACTCTTTACCAGCCTGCCGGAAACACGAGAAGAGTGACAAACTGGATTGTTTATGAATTTGTCGCATTAAATCAGGCAACTGTGAGCAGAAGTATATAGGTGAAACAGGAAGAAAAATCAGCCTACGCACCAGTCTTATGGACCGGGCACCAAATCGAGTGTAAATCGACAGAAAGGCTGGCTGCATATTGTGAAAACACAAGAAAACGAAGGATACGAGGCCATCAATATACTAACCAGGATAAATCTAATGATCAGGAGACTTGAAGAAGACATATAAGCGAAAACTTTGCCTATTACCTAAACAAATTTAGAGAAGATAAGGAAACAGCAATATCAGCGAAAAGATACAATTAGACAAAGGTAATGTTTTTTGTTTCCGGAAAATAAATTACAAGGAACCAGAGAAACAATCAGAAACCAAGAGTAGTCACATATTCAAATCAAGTAAGACCATCACATTTGGAGATCGGCATAAGAAAGTCATAGACTTGGTATTTGGGATAGAAGAGCGAGAGGAACGGCGACGACCATTGATAGTTGAATATTATTAGATAAGTTTACTCAGACTTGGAACATAAAGTAAAAATTTGATAACGAGATTCACTCAATGTACATGCTGCAAAGTAATAAGGGCATTTGCAGCGTCAAGTTAGGTTGCCATGCAAATTGAGAATCCAGACTTCATGGGCTTGCTCAGGCTTGAGGCAGGATAGTAAATAACGCCTTGATTATCATGGATATGATGGCAGCGATGAAGTGAAATCAATGAAACAGGGAGATAACGCAAGGTAACTATGAATCAAGAACGCGACTCTGATAGGACCAGAAGGGAGATTATTGCGGATTAAAACGCAGTCTTGGATCAACATTCGCGGCACAGTGGAAAGGATGTGGAAACCAGCGGGGAGTGTGAATAGATTTCAAATAGTTTTATATAAACAAGTAATAAAGTGTGATATCGAAGGCGTGATAAGATAAGATTATATAGGTGAATAGACAAGAACAGGAGACATTTCACAACTGTTTAGCCGACAATTGGTCAAATAATCGACATCAATTGTCTCTTTGACGAGTTGTAGTTTGGTGCTAAGACTGGCAAGGCACACTGACGATGCTGAATACGATGCCGGCGAAACGTCTGGGAATTTACCAATCCAACAGCTCGACTCTGGAAATTATCATGCATATTATGGACTTCGGACAAGGTGCGCTCCTCTAGGTCTTCCTGCAAACAAGACCAAGTTGCGAAAACAAGGTTAAACAGCTTTGAGGCAAATAAACAAGATAAAGCGTTAAGATTAGTCTTAATCTAGTGTTCCACAACCAAATTAAATATAAAGATTCTGCTTGTGGTGATAAGATGATTATTTTGGATTGATACATTCTATTTATTTGAATTCTGCAAATATCAATAGGAATTATTAGAACATGAATAAACAAACAAAGCAATATTTATCCATAGACTTCTTAACTAACCTTAGTAACTGCATCACCTTGGCCAGCACCAGTCCGCTTGATTATCATGCCAATTAAACAAGCATAGGCATCTAGTTCTGTGAAACTTTGGATACGGGCACTAGAGGCTGAGTTAACACCTAATGTGGCAACTCCACCAGGTAAGGAGTTAGCCGATTGGAATCCAGTTGGCCCTACCGACATAAGTGATACTGGAGCGAGTCCATTATGGCTAGGGTTCGGAGTCATGCTAGACCCAAGTGATGACCAGGTGGCAGACGATATTGCGGACGCCTGTTGCTGCTGTGGTTGTTGCTGTTGTATAGTAGATGAGCCAATAGTTAACTGCTCCTGAATCTTTAAATTTTTAAGCGCACGTTCGATAATAAAGACTGTTGCAAGGCGAAAAAAACGCACAAAATTCCCATCAGTTTGGCCTTGAGAAGCTAAGCTTCTAAGATCACATATATCTTGAGCGGCCCGAGAATCAGTTAGTCTGTTGGAATCAGACTTTCGAGTCTCACGTGTAGCTAATTTTGACAGAGATGTTGGCACAGTGAAAATCCCAATCTGTTCAAGTTGGGCAAAAATCCATTTGATAGCAGTTGGATCGTGTTGTTTGGGGCTTTGATATATGTCTAACCAAGCCCGCATGATAAATTCTGTCTTCTCCTGGAAAAGAGAAAACATATGTATCTCTGTGTCGAAAACCGTCTTCATTTAAAATGGAGTAAAGACAAATTTGATTTAATATAATGTTTTTTAAGATAAACATGAGCGGATTCAAAGATATTTGGGTTTCTAGTTGAAAATTGAATTGCAGGTACAAGATGAGATTTAAGCTTTTTTAAAATCATAATTCTATTTGAGTGTTACAAATAAAAATTAGTATTGGTATATTGTATAACTGTAGATAAATTAATCCGTGATAACGTAGAGTTGCACTGATAAATTTGTGGCAGTAGCGGATTAGCAACTTGGTGTATCCCAAGACGTTTCGCCAGCATCCTCAGATGCGCC